GTTCTATTCTGTTTGTTTGCTAGAAGGTGTATATGCCACAGGTCTCTTCAAGGCACGAAGATTCAGCATTTTTTCGTAATTAGGAAGCCATTAATAGACATAAAATGTGTTCTTTTATCTTTCAGGGTTTGTCTGCAAAATTTCAGATATCTAGGAAAACGCAATATTGTAAGGTAATTCTCTGGTTATAGACTGCATGTTACAGTATTTAAATGTTACTGCATTACAGTAGGCTTAAATGAGGTTAACAGTGTATCTATCGGTTTTCTCCTGAAAGCATCATGTGACATACTGAAGCCAATGTATGCTTCATTTCTTTCTTTTATGCGAACAATGTTATCATGATGTTCTGGACATCTGAGTACATGCCTGGTGTAAAAGATTAATTGCATGTGATGATATGAAAACTGCTATTACATTTATAACCCAAAATACTGGGCCATTCTCAAACATATTTCTGCGCATGTGCCAAACAAAGGAATTTGAACACTGTATTTTCCATCCATTTAATGGAAAGAATAGTTTTTATGGGCATAGATAAATGTTCCACAGCAATAAATAAAGTCTTCTGTCTCTACCCATTCTCTGAAAAAGCATGAGATCGTGTTCCCTCTGTGAAATGTGAAATGCACGCTTTGTCTCAGTTGATGTTTCATTTTTAATTTAATGTTACCGCTGTGAACTTGTCTGTATGTCATACTGTGGAAAAACGAAAGGTCACCAGATGAACCAGTTCACACTCTGTGGCAGGTTTTGTCAGGCCTGTATTTATTCTTCAGAGGCATGGCAAAATCAATGTCGCGTTCTATAACAGATTAACAGTTATTTTCTCTCAACAGGAAAATTGCTGCTGCTTTTAAGTTTGTTCAGGCCACCCAGAATAATGGAACCCTTAAAGGTTCGAACTCCTCTGGCCAGGCATCGTCAGGTCTGCTCTCGCAATGGTAATGACATGTTGTATTATTAACTCCTGTAAAACCACAGTCTTTGTTGTCATCCTCCAGCCCTTGTACACTGTCCCAGCGTTGACTGAAAAGAGGTTGACACAACACGTGTCACATTTTGGAGCCCCCAAAGCCATAAACAGTAAAAGAATTGAGTCCCTCTAACTTCACCTTGACTTACAAGCTGTTGTTTAAAATGTTATGTTCAGAAGAATCATTAGTTACTGTCAATATTGTTAAGTATTGCAGGAACAGCAGCTGTTGTTTTCAACTCAGATTTGTATCCAAAAGATAATCCAGTTTTCCCCAACCCGAAGGAGTTCATAGGTCTGCAACCTTATGGTTTCATGGAATCCTTCTGCTTTAGGGGTAAATATCTGTAGATGCATTTACAGCATCAGGGGATTTGTTTCTCCCCAATAACCTGGGGTTGCAGAGTGGGAAGTATCTGGCAGCACAAAGTCAAACTTAAGAGTAGGTTTGCTTGACACCCGTATTTTTACTTCCATGCTTTGAAGTGTAGCATAATCCTATACTGTTATGTCCATGTTGCTAGTCAGAAAATCTTTCTTTCCTAGTCTTTTTTTCCTCCGTCTTCCTAGTCCAAACATTGCAAGATTTAATCATTTTCATGGACTGCACGGTAATAAGCTGCAGGTGCAGCGCATTTTTAATAATCTTTTTGATCCTTTCAGGGCAAAGTGGGACCCTTTTCATGTTAATAATGTAAAACTCTAGAGAGAAAGCAACCTTTTGATTCTGTGCAGCTTGTGCTTATGTCTAAGAGCATGGTGAGAAAGTCCTCCTTCCTCATGAGCCTGGATCATTGACTTTTCTCATTTATGTATAGCTAGAATGTGCTTACCGTTACAAGCATTTATCTTGGAATGGAACATGGGAACAAAGATGCTTTCTCTGCCGTATTTCTTTCTTTATTCCTCCACTGTGCAGTTTTTAAGAAGCAGCACTGATTTTATTACCCCATCTGGAACTGAGAAACAGCCTTTAGGAGACTGTGTTGTTGCATGTTTGCAAATCAACCAACATGGTGGCAACCCAGAAAATAAAGTCACATTTCTGCTGTCTCCAAGGCCTTCACACTTTGCCCTCTCACAGATCAGCATTTGTTGTCCAAATGGCTATTTGTTTTGCCTGTTGTTACGTAGACCATTTTTTGATGATGAGTTGAGAGTTGAAGTATTTCTGGTGATCAGGTCTAACTTGCACTCATATTTATGTATTTCAGTTTGCTGAAATGCTCATATGAAACCAGACTTTCCACCCCACCCCAAAAAAAACCCTTTGAGATAAATTTCCACATATTCTAAATCCATTAGTTTGCCAGGATGTCCACCCAAATCCTTCCACTGTGAACATTAATGGAAGACTATCCCATTGATTGGCAAAAGTCTGGCCATCAATTCCATGCCTGCGTTGGGAACTTTTTCTTTTTTTAAATCTGCAATGTTAATTTTCTGAATTATTTTTGCAAAAATAACCAAGATAAAAGAAGGTTTAGCTAGGTGCAGGAAGTAATTCTGTCCTAAACTATTTTTAAATTATGCAAATTTAGGAAGCTACATTTTTTAAAGAAATTAAAGAAAAGAATATTTCAATAAGTGACCTGAATTTTGAGGGATGTTAAATCTTGCTGAATTCTATAGTGGTTACAAATTCAAAATCCTTTCAAAAATTATGATAAGCATTGGTATTTTACTTCTAAGCTTCTCATTATAAATTAATGATGTGTTTGTCAGCATCAAAGAGTGTTAAAAGAACACAGAAGTGCATCCACATATTTTTACTGTCATTGTCAGTTTGTTGTCTTTGTGGGGTTTTTCCCTCATAAAAGCTGTATTAGTTCTTTCCTGAACAGGATACATTTTTCTTCTATTTTGAGTTAACAGAACTCATCTCAGTTTCTCTTTACTCCAAGGCAGTTTCCTAAACATCAGCCAGCTATTTAAGATGATGCTTTTTTTCAGTGCTCAATGTGTGTTTTCTCTCCTGTGATCTCAAGAAATCACAGCATGTCTGTTTATTTTGTCCACCTCACTAACTTTCTTATTCGTCTTTGTTTCTCTGAAAAATTTTCCAGCAGTTCGTTTAACTTAGCCTTTGAGAAGTACTGCAGAAAATTCTAACTGACATGGAAAAATTCTGTATAGGCATGGTAGTTTATTCCTTGTTTCTGTTTTTTAATGGTACTTTTAAATTTCAGGATGCATTCTACTTCTAGTCACGATGGCCACAAGCATCACAGATCTCAAACATTACCAATAATCCGTGGCAAAAATGCACTTTCTAACCCCAAACTCTTGCAGATGATAGACAGCAGCACTGCAAGTAAGTACAAAAAATTATTTACTTCCCTCCGGAATTCTATGGGTTTTGGACCAGGCTCTGTACAATCAAATCTGTTTTCATGAGTGCCAGTGAAAGACAGCCTGAAGGGAAGAGCCTAAACATGAACTTTAAGGGTGGTAAGGCACTGGCACAGGTTGCCCAGAGAGGTTGTTGAGGCCCCATCCCTGGAGGTGTTCAAGGCCAGGCTGGACGTGGCCTTGGGCAACCTGGTCTAGTGGGAGGTGTCCCTGTCCATGACAGGGGGGTTGGAACTCGATGATCTTCAAGGTCCTTTCCAACCTAAACCATTCTATGATTCTATGAATAGAGCTGCTGACTCTTCCTTTTTTTTTCAGGAGACTAAGAAATCTGAGCTTAAATTTGGTCAAAGTTCATTTGGAAACAAAATTAATTACAATAACCTGACACATTTAAATAGCCTTAATGACAAGATATTCCCCCCTTCCTAGTATCTCTTCCATCTATGATTATGTACCTTATATTACATTTATTAGCTCTAGCAATAAAAGTGACCTTTTCATGACAGAAGGTTCTTTAAACGATGAGATCAAAGTCATCTATCCCACTTCCAATTAGGTTTCTCTCCTCCTTTGAGGACGAACAGAAACAATGAAAGAATATACTTACATCTCTGGTGCAGCTGGTAAAAGTTGACTCAAATTCCCTTCCCTTTCATCTCCTGTGAGCAGTTTTCTTCAAAATACCCCTTTGGTTAAATGTACAGTTAGGTCCCCATCTCTACTGTACTGAGGCTTAATGACCAGATTGCAGATTGTATCATCTTTACACTCAGAAGATTGTTTGTCATCTTGCTTTTTGTATGTTGCAGGCAGCTCCAATGAAACGGACATTGTACAGTACGTAGACACGGAGGCAAACATTGCCACAGAAGTTTCCCTCACAATCCTTGACCTGTTGTGTCTTTACACTCTGAATCACCAGGTATGTTTTGCGGTTTCATTTTCTGCTTGAACTGGTGCCATGTGGGATGTGTGGTGGAAGGAAAGCCTGGAGCAGGCCCACAGAAAATTTGAAATGCCCGAGACAGCAGGATAAGGAAATAAGATATGCCAGTCCTCAGCGAAGGTATTTTATGAAGGAATTGGCTCATAGTACCCGAACTGAATAAAAGGATGTGGAAGAGCAGCATCCTGTGTATCCAAGGCTATATACAGCCCTGCTCTGCATGAAAGTGTGGCACATTTACTAATACGTCAGCTTTTCTGAATCATGATTATCCCACTAGATTTCGGAGATTTTAGACAAAGGATTTCCAAACTGCTTATCATCTATAGCTCTTCGAGTCTGCAGGTGGATCCTCTGCCTCTTTAAAAATTGCTCTATGAATATTGGCCCAGATGACTTGCTGAAGGTCTCACAGCTACAATACAGCAGGCAGCTCCTTTTAGATTTAGTGTTTCCTTTCTACCACCCTAGCCCTTAAATCTAGTGTGTACCGTCCTCAAGTAGGAGTACAAGCATAGGGAAGTGCTGTTCTTGAAAAACTGCCAGGTAAAAAGAGTCTGCAGCAAGCTGGGAGTGCCTCATCCGCAGAGATTTTACAGTGAAGAAAGCATCTCCCTAGGAACACTACAATGTAAAGTCCAGCAGATCCTTCTTCTCTTTTTTTCACTTTAGTAACTAGAATGTCCTGTATTGTCTGTGAACCTTTCAGAGGCAGCTCCAGCAATCTGATTGCCAGAATGCATTGATGAAGAAAGTCTTTGACACACACATGCTCTTTTTGCAAATCAACCAGTCGGCAGCAGCTCTCAAGCACGTCTTTGCTGCCCTACGGCTGTTTGTAGGCAAGGTAACGATGGTTTTATTCTGTTAGTCTGACCTATTAATATGTTACAGCGAGTGCAGCTTGAGGACAGTTGGGTACTTTGAAAGAGTTCTGAATTTCGTTGTATTAATGCTTATTCCTGACAAAGATAATCTGATTTATTGCTGATTAAAAGGGAGAAGTTCACAATATCTGAAAAATTTGTTCTGTTTTGGAAAAGGAAAAATTTACTAAGAAAGTGACACTTGTAAAGGAAGTAGATAAGTAATGTCCAGGTCTGTGGTATCTGGCTATGTCATTGGCTTTCATGCGTTACCAGCCGTGGAAGAAAGCTTGGAACCCTAAAGGTCCATGGTCTTCCTGGCAGATACCTGGGTTGCAGAATGCAGCAGTGAATGATTACAGCTATCCCTAGAAGAGCTAGCAGGAGAGTATTCCATACCCTTCACCAAGAGTTCATCCAAACTAATACAGTTTTACAAATACCTTGTTTTCAACAGAGAAGAGGGTTTTTGGACGAAAACATGTTTGTGTGTCAAACTGTTTATTTACTTGCATTGCAAATATGTAGGTGATCATGTGGCACTTTGTGCCAACTGCAAAGGCTGCACAATGTCCAAGTCACAGGCTTAGATGAGATCCTCTTAAAACTAACCAGAATGTAGCACACAGATAACAATTGCAAGGGGGAAGTGAGAATAAGCAAGGCTGGCCTGATCTCCCCGGTGTTTCTACAAAACACAACTGTACATCAGTTTAAACCGTGTGGCCTCCTCCTGGTTGTTATCTCAGGGGAAAGGAGGAGGCGTCATGCTTCTCCCAGTGATGTAGCGTGAGGACATGGGGGAATTATAAAGTACACCGTCCACAGACACCTTGAAATTACATACCAGCCAGACAGGAATGGAAGAACTCCGTGCAATGGGGAGGATGAATAAATATCCAGGATCGCCCTTTCCATTCATCCTGTCGCTCTCGGGATTGAAGTCTCTCTTCGTAGTTCTGTGGGAACAGGGGTCAGTCATGGTTCCTGCAGTAGAACCTCTCTGGTGATACTTGAGGTTTGTAGCCAGTATGCTGTCTCTGAGCTGTCTGCTGTTATATTCACCCTGCTGGTAAATAGTATGTATGGTTCGGAAAGCCATCCTTCGCTCTCTGTTGTCTCTTGCTGTTCAGACTCTCGACCCCTGGAAGTTCGCTGACTTTGCTACTCAAAGTATTTTCTTTCTCCTGAACAGCTTTTATAGCAGTGCAGAAGCCCACACACGCTCTCCTTGGTTAGCTGTTCTGCGTTCCTTGCAGTCAGGCTGCTCTGCCTTTACGCTTGCTGCGTGCCAGCTGCTGTCTGGGCTTCCTGCAGGCCAGTTTGATTGTTGTGTTGCATACGGTGTTTGTATGAAAACCTGTGTGCAGTTTTTACTTAATTTTAATTTGCACGTGGGACTATGTTTAGCCAGCGGCTAATTTTTTCACTAAACCCTGGTGTGAATGAATATGGGAGAGTGAGTTGTTTTTACTGAAAGCTTAACAGAAGAAAGTATTGCCTCGGAATAACTGTACCAGTGCCTGAGAGTAGTGCTCAACATATTCACACATTGTTTTTGATAGTTCCCATCAGCATTCTTCCAAGGACAAGCAGATCTCTGCGGTTCGCTCTGCTATGAAATCCTGAAGTGTTGTAACCATAGGTCACGTTCAACTCAGACAGAGGCATCTGCTCTTCTTTATTTTTTCATGAGAAAGAACTTTGAATTTAACAAGCAGAAATCCATAGTCAGATCCCATCTACAGGTAAGTGAAATGTGAGATCATCAGTATTTAGCAGATGTGCATTGTTTTTTATCATTATTTTTATGCATTGTAGCAAAGCAATTCTTTTGGAGTCCTCAGACGGGCAGTTCTCTGTGGTTGCTTGATTTTCCTGCCAAGTCTGAAGACATTGGGCTGGATTCTCTGCTGTTCCCGGGCTGCTCAACTCTGTCCCAGGGAGAGACAACAGCTGTGAATGTAGCTGCACAGCCAATAAATAGTCAGATAAATGGCTGTTCTTGATTGACGTGCATTGCTTACAGCAGTGAGAACATAGCTGATGAAGGAACTAAACAGAATCAGATAGTATAGTAACAGAAATGTAAAGTCCGGTAACAGTGCTCTTACACTGCAAAATGTGAGCAATTGCAAATACTGGAAAGATTATTCCCAGTCCTTGTGTTTGTATAAGTTATCTTCTTAAGACAGGTATAAAAGTGCATCTCTGCTAGTCTGGTACATCAAGTTGTTTTGAAATAGGGATTAAAAGCTATTCAGAAACTTTGATTTTCTTTGCTAATTGCAGCCTGTGTTTGCTCCCCCCATACAGCTCATCAAAGCAGTGAGCCAGCTGATAGCGGATGCAGGGATTGGCGGATCTCGTTTTCAACATTCACTTGCAATAATAAATAATTTTGCTAACGGAGACAAGCAGATGAAAGTAAGAAACATTTTTTGTCAATCACTACCTCTTGCAAAAGGTCAACAATTTCAGAGGAGCAGGCGTTGCAGTGAATAGAATTGCTGGCTTTTATTAGACAGTGATTTATGCGTTCAGAGTGGGCCTTTTTCAGGCAGCCTGAAGTTCATGAAGATGTTTGTGACTCAGAAGCTTAATAATTGAAAATAATTTTTAAAACAAAAAAAAAAGATATTTTTATTTGAAAATTGTATTACTTGTTATTCACTGCTTATTTTGTTAATTTGCCTGATGTCAGAGGGGAGGTATCATGCACTGTGACTGATGAAACACAATTGCAGTTGACAAACAGTTTTTAGTCTACAAAGTATCCCTTTAGTCTGTTCAGTAAATGTGTAGCAAAAACGTGCACAACAGTTGGGTTTTGTAGCAGCTTGCTAACCCCCTGGAAAAGGCACTTAGCTCTTAGGGTACTTACCAGTGCTGTTATATTCATTGTCTGTACTAAAGGTATTGGAAAAGGATTCCAGTTTTTAATTGTTACAATCCCTGGCCAAGCACTTGTCAACATGCATTTTGAATTTTATACTTCAGAGGTGTTTTTCCTTCTCTGAAGGTGACTTTAGGGTATCTCCACTGACGTTAATAATAAAGTTAGTGTGAGCAAATTGGTAGATAATAAGCATAAGTAATTTGATGTCTTATTTAATAAGATGCAGTTACAATTGTATTTATTTCCAAAGTCCTGCTTTGATTTCCCAACACTGCAGTCAGTCACACTGCATCTGTAACACGCTCATCTCTGTGTGACGTAGAGGGAGGATCTAATTTCATTTACTTTTTCTGGATGTTTTCACTTTTAAACAAAGGGAACAAGGGGGGAAAAAGTCTGAAAATAGATATGTATTTCGTTGCCCATCTGAGAAAGAGAAACTGCAGAGCTGAGTTAAATATGTTGAGAGCAGCTGATGTGAGCAATACAAGGACTCTGTGTTAATCTTGCGCAGCGTGAGACGGCCAGGAGCCAGCCTGTCGTGCTTTATTCACTGCGGTGAAACATGCTGCGAGTGTAGTCACGCAGCACTGTCTATAGTGCACGGTGCCGTTCGTCAGCTGAAAGTGTGGGAGAATCCAGTTCTGGATCCAGTAAGCAACCGAGGAACAAATGTTTCCGTTTGCTGACTTCAGTGGTGTGGCTGCTCACAGGCAGTTGTACAGCTGCCTGGCAGGGGTATCTAGTAGGTGCTATGGCACATCAGTAAAAAAAGTCAAAGATTTGTGTACAATGTGTACATACTGTGGAACTGTGGCTCTGCTCCGAAGCCTACTGAATTAGGGAAGGGGAAGAACGTCTTCCATAAGCCAGACTGTAGCTCGTTCAGGGGTGCTGCCTGTGGCTCTTTGGATGGTTGTAGTGATGTGTTGCTTATCTTTCCCAAAGAACGTTAATTTCCCAGCAGAGGTGAAGGATCTGACCAAACGCATCAGAACAGTTTTAATGGCCACAGCTCAGATGAAGGAGCATGAGAAGGACCCCGAGATGCTTGTGGATCTGCAGTACAGCCTAGCAAATTCCTATGCCAGCACACCTGAGTTACGTAGGACATGGCTTGAAAGCATGGCCAAGATTCACGCAAGAAATGGAGATTTATCAGAGGTAATATAAATAAATGAATAGGAAATCCATTTGTCTTTAGGCTGAGATGTTCTGATGAAAAGGGCTCTGAAAGACAGACAACAGTAGTGATTCAAGAGATTCATACAATGTCTCTCACATACTTGAAGTTAGAGGAAGGCAGGTTTGAAAAACACCTAGAGAGGTGATGTGCTCCGTATCCAAGTTCGTCGAATCGTGACTACCTGATACGTGCTTGAGAAAGACTTGAAAATGTCTGACTGGGAAGCTGTGGTCAGTATCACATCAGCATCTCTGCTGCTTAACCACAACAGGCACAGTAGGCGTAGTGCAGATGAGGTTATGAGCAAGGCATAACTTTCTTCTCCCCTGCTATACCATAGGAGAGGAGCTTCGCTTATAACATGTTGTCCTTCTCATCGAAAACTAAACGGGTGATGCAAAACTCCAGTGCATAACCCAGGAATGTCTTATTTACTAAGTAATCTTAATGGTTTTCTTGAGCAAATCTATGCTTTTACCTAAGACACTGAGTGAAATTAACACTTAAGGAGTTCGTAATTTAATCCTTTATTTTCTTACACAGTTATATTGTCTTCCCTTTTCTGCAGCATGACTTGACTGTGATGAAAGTATGTGCTCCTTATTACGTGTATGCTGTAAGTGTGTACTTTAACACAGACGTGTGTCTTGGTCTTTGATTACAGGCTGCTATGTGCTATATCCATATCGCTGCTCTTATTGCGGAGTACCTGAAAAGAAAGGGTAAGATCGACATATTCTACACCAACTATGTACCTATAGACATTATTGTTGAAAATAATTTTTGGCTGTCCTACTTTCCTTCCTTATATACAAAGTATTCGTAAATCTGCTTGAATTTTTCCCAAATATTTTATTTTTTAAATATATTGTAAGTCCTAATCTTAGCACTAGAACAGTGAAAGTGTGTGTTTTGTGTAAAGAGGGTTAATTAAATGTTTAGTAAGCTAGTGCTAAAAGAGAATGCTTCTCTTGTTGGTCTGTTGTTGTTAAATATGCATGTATTAACACATACCAGTAGCAGTGTACTAATACCATCTTACACTATCATAGGTTACTGGAAAATGGAAAAGATTTGTACCTCACGTATGCTCCTGGAAGATGGTCAAGTCTCTGATAGTAATGTGTTACTAACAACTCACAATGGAGGAAGTGAGTGCTCTAACCGTGCCTGTTTATGGGTCAAATAACATAATTAGGGAATCAAATTACTGTTCTCCAGTTGATCTGGAAAAATATCTGCCAAAGCAAAAATATTTATAGTGCATGTGGATGGCTGTAATAGCAAGCAAGTAATGTTGGAAACATTATGTTACGTTCCTGATGCTCTTTGGCTGGTTTGATGAATTGCTCAGAATGTCTCTGGCTAAGGGCTCTTTCAGCAAGAGAGCACTCTGCTCGTCAGCAGCAGCAGAAATCCCTCTCAGGTCAATTGGTGTTTAGCACGCAAATCCATGTCCAATTCCTTGACTAGCCAAAGCTGGGAGGGCACGGGGGCAGAATTAATATCTGGTTATCCATATGTAACTTAGTAAAGATAAAGCTTATTTTTTTTTTTAATCTGTGATGCTTATTAGAGAAATAAAGTGCAGGCTTATATTATTAAATGCTTCTATGCCAGTGGTTATTTAGTTTATGAAATGTGTCTTCCAAAGTAATTCTCAGCATGAGGTATTTTAGCAATTTTCACAAAAGAGCAATTTCTGGGGGTGAGGGCAAATATCTGGGGAAGAGAAAACTTAGTTTTAGAAAAAACATGGTTCTCTGGTACACTTCTGAAGTGTCTGTGGGCGAGATGAAAAAATGCATCCTTTTAGAAGGAAGCTTTCTGTGCAATATTTTGAGGTGGGTTCACTAGTGGTAAAATACTTTGCATGAATAACAGATCACAGTATGTGGAGTGGAGAACTTGTGGGTCGTTTTAAACCTATGTTTAAATGATTTTTGAAACTTGACAGAGGGTAAGGAGCCCCTCTGTCTCAATGTGTAAAGGTTAGCTTTTTAATTGTGCCTTACCAGCATTTTCCTACTTTTAAATTGAACACGAACCACGTCAGGAGTTCGTCGCCTCCACTGGCGAGTTTACCTTTACCGTTCAGAAGTGGTAGTAAAACCTCTGCAGGTCAGACTCTGCCTGATCTGCAATGTGCAATGCCTGTGTAAGTTGTTCTTTCTGCAACCGTTGCACTAAGGCCCCAGCTTAGCAAATATTAAACGTAAACTCGTTTTTAATCCTTGTGAACCTTCCCCTCAGCAGCTTCTGCTGCCGGCCTGAGCTTTCTGCAAGAGAGTTCCTCGGTTAGGGCTGTGGTTGCCCTGCTGACCCTGGGCAGGGTAGGGAGAGCCGCTGCCAGGGTGTCCCGGAGCCCAGCAAAGGCACACTCTGCTCCTGAGCACGTCTCCCCATCGCCTGCAGTGAGCTTGGGGGGACTGTGCCCATCTCGCTTAGGAAACCTGATGGGTGGGACGAGTGCAGGTCCCAGCATGTTCCGTCAAGTGTCTGTAGGTCAGGCCAGGAGTCACAGCACTGGTTTCATGAGTATAAGTTGTCTCTCCTCAGCCTGCGACGGTAATTGCTGTAAAGAGGAGTGTTGCGTGTATAGTTTTACAAGGACTGCCAGCACTGTACAGCTAAGGAACCGAAATGCCAAAGAAAGGAATAAGATTGTATCGGGAAAATATTATAGTCGCCCTTTGCCTGGACAAGTGGATTTATGTCATAAAGAAAATGTGTAATAGTCTCATGAATTCAGTCAGTTCCGTTTGTGCTTCTCATCACTTGACTGTGAAAAAAGTAACTAATCCAGTCAAATAAAATCTCTCTGTTTTAATGGCATCCAATAACTTTTTGAATTATCTGGTTATTCAGTCATTAATTGACATTATTATGGCTTGCGCTTCAAGGCTTATTTTCCATGGGATGGCCTGCTTTTCTGAGCATTACCCCCAACATTAAAGAAGAAGGCGCTATGAAGGAAGATTCTGGGATGCAAGATACTCCCTATAATGAGGTCAGTACCGTTAACATTTATATACTTGTTCTATATTAACAGTGAGTGTTATTTCTAATGGATGCCTGTGCATGTTAAACAAATTAGAGTGAGAGTGTACTTCATGCAGTATTAAAAGGCGCACAGCACAGCTTATGAGTGAAATGTCATAGCTGTTGTACTAAATAGCAGGGATAGGTTTTTAGCTAACCAGGTCATTAACTATCAGAGCTGAAAGTTAGGACAGGGGGGAGCCCACGAAGCAAACTCGTTTTTCTGAATGAGACACCCCATCCCTGGAGGTGTTCAAGGCCAGGCTGGATGGGGCTTTGAGCAGCCTGGGCTGGTGGGAGGTATCCCTGCCTGTGGCAGGGGGGCTGGAACTAGATGATCTTTACGGTCCCTTCCAACCCAAACCATTCTATGATTCTATGTCGAGTATTTTCATGGTACTGTTATTTCAGCATTTTTATCTAAAGAAGAGCTAGGTCACCAATACCTGATTAAACATTGTGTCATTGAAGTAAACGTTAATATAAAAGATGCAGAACAAAAATGAAATAGTGAATATGTCCTTTTGCTGCATTGCTGTTAATTAAACGCCACCAGCTGTGGAGTCACTGAACTATTTGTATTTGTGTAATTGCAGAATGTTCTTGTGGAGCAGTTGGAGTTGTGTGTTGAATACCTGTGGAAGTCTGAGAGATATGAGCTTATTGCTGAGGTTAACAAGCCTATCATTGCTGTTTTTGAGAAGCAGAGGGACTTTAAAGTAAGTTGTTGTTTTTTGGTTTTTTTATTATCTTAACACAACAGTAAAGATCAAAATTTTTAAGGGGAAAAAAGTGCTTTCTTCAAAAGGAATGTGGGTTTTTTTTCCTTCCTGTCTGTAATTTATCTTTTTAATGTTTTGCGCTGTAAGTAGTTGAAAAACTTTGGTACCTTACCTTCCTCTTTTCAGCATCAATGTAACAGTAAGTGAACAAAACATTTTCAAACAAACCTCTTGTGTTAGCCAGTGGATGTGAATTTTCATGTGAGTTCTTAAATCAAGAGCACATTCGCGTTGTCTGCTGATGAACTGTGTGATCTTTTCCCAATTCCAGGGCTTCTTCATTTCTTATTTGACAATTTCAGTGCATAATGGATAACCAGATGATAATCTCATTTACGGATTTTTCTGGTTTTAAATTAAAAAAAAAAAAACAAACCCAAGATGTAGGTAGCTATAAGCTGTATGCTGAGGAAGCAGGTCCTCGAATTTAAACTTAGTAGAAATTTTGGTTCACTGTCCCAAGAAAGTGCTTTTTGGTGGTAACTGTGGATAGCATATCTTTGCATGGGGTTGGGAGCTGACTGGAGTTGTTGGCATCCTGCTCCTACCTGCACGTAGGACACGTAGGTTCTCTGACCTCTTGGTAAGTCCCTACCACTGCCCAGTGATGGGATCTTGCCTTCCTGTGTGACCCTGTACATAAAGGCACCCACTGCCACAAAACTGGGTGCTCAGAAGATGACAGAAACCTTGAAATGAATCTTTAGTGATTGCTGACAAGGTTAAAGCTGAGCGCGTGCGGCCATCTTTGCAAAGGTTTGGTAATCCCGTTAAGAGAAGCCATACTTGCATAGAGCCTTAGTGTCATTTCCCAAAGTACTTGTGCTCTCTCACTTCCCCTCGCTCTCCTTGTTTCTTAATATAGAGACTATCTGATTTGTACTACGACATCCACCGCTCGTACCTGAAGGTTGCAGAAGTAGTGAACTCAGAGAAACGTCTCTTTGGGCGATATTACCGTGTTGCATTTTATGGGCAGGTAAGTCTACTTGTGTTCTTTTGTGTCCACAGATTCCCAGATTTCAGCCACATTCTTCTGATCCTGATGTATTTCAGGGAAACTAAAACAGGGAAGCCCTTGGCTGTGAGTCATGGGGTAGAAAGTGCCTCGTGGGTCATACTGCAAGGAGGATTTTACTCAGAAGAGAGAGCACTCAGTTGCACCTGTGTAAACTGCTGCTATGGATTTAGTGGTGTAATGGAGAACAGACATGTACGTCAGCTTTAGTTCTTGACTTCATCAAGCGAGACTGAGGCAGGGCAGCTTTTTTCAGAGTAAAACTTAAATAAAACCAGACAAGACATCTTTGATATATGGCCACCTCTTCAAATAGAGCTTAAAGCACAGCACTATGCAGTAGATGTTTTGTTGTGTTTCTCGCTGACTGATTTCTGCTTTCAGGCCACCTCTGATTCTGTGCCATATACTGTAGAGTAGTTTTATTCCCTCTGCTGTGTGCTTCAGCATCCTCAAAGCGTTATTTTGTGCTTTCTTCCACTACAAACCAGTGTAGCAATCCAGCGTGGTTTTTTAAGTCCTGGTTTTGGCAAGCACACAATTTCATTTAAAATAATAAGGTGTGTAAACAACAGATTGATGTAAATCATTCTGTTTGCTAATTAGATTTTAATGCAGAAATTTGCTCTTTTCTCCTTTTGATCTTATTCAAGGCTGTGGTAAGTCTAGTTCTTTTGCATGTTTTGTTTAATTCTCCTCACACGTCCTCCATCCTTCCCTGTACTGTTACTTAACATTAACTTTCCTGTGCTCTCGATTCTTTGGTTCGTGGCAGATGAAATAACGTCGTTTCATTCATTGTTGCATCCTGCAAACTAATTTTTGTTTGTTCAGCTACCTGAATTACCAAGCTGTATCTGTCGCCGTGTTGTGTGCGCACCGTGGGGCCCAATGCTGCGTCATCTCATCTCAGTGAAAGTTTTTCTCGGCTTCACTGGGAGTGGGATTGGACCCCCTTCTTCCTCCGTTGACAAACTCGGAGTAGCATTAATGCTGTTTGAATGCAAGTCTGCTGTCCTGGCCCGTGCAGTCTACGACGAGTGGCAGTGGTGACTGGAGCGCTCTGGGCAGGCTGCGGCCACCTGCCTGATGGTACCTTGTTAGGAGCAAGTAAACTGGGAGTCAGAGGGCAATGGTGAGTCCTTCCTCAAAACGGGGGCAGCAGAGGGGAAAACAGGACTCTCCTACTTGCATCTTCTTGCCGGGGCTTTCCCAGAGGCAGCTACTTGTAGGTGGGTAATTTAGCCACGGCAGTTCTGCTGAACGGGGTTGAAATCTCTGTTACAGTACAATGACTTTTCAGCTGCCAGTGCCACAAGGACAACTTCATTTAAACAGCCTTAGTGCTCTAAAGCATATGACTTTCATAGCTGCGTATTGTTCGGTCTGTTCCCTGGTGCCTCTGGACACTGAGCTCTAAATGCAAACAGCACAGCTTCCTCCTTGCCTTTTGCAGAAGGGATGTTATGGGGTAGAAAGTGGGACTGCTCCGTATTGCCTCTTGCAGAGGCGTAGGGACAAAAATGCGTGACACGGTGCAAATAACTAAAGGTGGATCATTCCCATCAGCATTACTTGTGCCTCGTTTTCCAAGAGAAATAGGAGTGGGTGTGCAGAACTGATTGAGGAGGGCTTACCAGTCCACTAAGCCCCATGGCAGGTGTGGGAGCTACAGAGGAAGCTGGACCTGGAAGGGGAGACAGAGAGAATAGTCTGTTCCCATATAGCGGTTGTGCCTGCATATTCTTCCCTTTGGAAGGTTTTATTTTTCTATTTCTGTCAGTTCCTTTTTCCCCGTGTGCCACTTAGTTCCAATTTAGCTGTGCAAGTGGAAAGGTATGGGGCCTTTTCGCCCTTCTGTTGCCAAGAGTATTGCAGGTCTCCATGCTGAAAGCAGCCTCCCTGCCCAGTTCTTTTAAAACATTAAAAGCAGTTCCCTTTTTTGTGCGTCTGGCAGACTTTGCACACTTTCTCCCAAAAGCTAATGGTTGCACGTTTTACTAGTATTACACAGTTAAACCAGTATGAATTGCTCTGCTTGGGCCGCTAAAAAGGAAGGGGTGCTCGGTATGCAGGTATGGGATTCCTTTTCAGTCTTACGCGTATATTGGTCTATAAAATACCTGTGGGTAGATATACATAACCACACACAAAGAAAAAAATACAGTATTGCACATATGCATTTATTCATTAAACATTTTTATCAATTGTGTCAATAATAAATATATACATATATATTTTGTAAAAACAGAACACTACTGTTTCTTAAATAAAACAAAAACTGCAGAGAGAGCCGATTAAAGGACAAAAGAATACTGCAAATACTGTTTGCAGGGAGAATTTGGGGGATTCTTAGTAGAAAAAGAAAATCTGCATCTGCACCTGAAAAATCTACTTCTTCATGCAAAGGCAATATTTGGTTACCGCGTTGGTGCGGGGACCCTCTGGAAGCATGATTTTAATGAATCTAGTCCTTAGGGAGGATGCAGTGGGTTGTTTTTGCCGGAGAGCTTTATTTGCCAGCTCAGAGAGCCGCATCTCATGGCAGCTGCTGTTTTAGACTGCCAACTCTGTTACAGGCCTTTGGTGACAACATCTTGTTGCACCACCAAGTGGCCACACTAGCCAGTGTTTATGATTTTATTTACAGATGAGTGTTTCGAGAAGTCAAGATCTTTCTTGAATAAAAAAAAAATATTGTTAAAGATGTTGAATAGCTGAAAACTCATATTGTGCTGATAAGCAAAGACATTGTAGACTTGTTTTTCAGAGCAGTGTTAGGTAGAGGTAGAGCTGAGGTTCTGTTCTCCTCTCTGTACAAGAAGCTGTAGAAGTTGGAGGGCGGGTTTTCATAGCAGTGAGCTGACTGTAGGTTTATGTCTGAAGATCAGAAGATGAGTCCCCTTTTCAAATGTCATAAAACAGCTGTAGCTTCCTTACCAAAAAGTGCAATGTGTGTACTTACCACAGGAGGTAATTCTCACTCGATGCAGGCAGGGAAGGATCCATTAAATGCTAATTCTTGTCAGGTAGAGCAGGAGGCTTTCCCTTGGCACACCAGCTGCAGGGATGGGTTGTATTCTTCTAGCAAAGGGCAGAGAAGAGTCAGAGTTACGGTGAGCTGCAAGGGCTGTGAATGAGGGCGTACGGGGAGGAAGAAGGGCCTTTTCAGAGCTCCTACAGTGACAGCCCAGGTCACAACTTGACTCTCGGCACATGGGAGCTCAGTGGAAGCCAATAACCTTCTGTCCAGGAGGTTGACTCCCTTCCATTATGTTTGGCTGCTCCGTGTCATAATTGTTATCTGTAAGGCTCCATTATTCCCTCAGGGCAAAACCAACAAGTATGAAAATAATCTAGGGGTATGCATTGATAATGTGACCTTGGCTGCTTAATATTTTAAACTCCTGAAATTGGAGCATATTTGGCTCCTAAAAAGTATTTAATCTTACTTTCAGTAGTCGTTGCCAAACATATAGCATATGGCAGACAGGATTATTTATAGCTCACAATTAACTTATGTCACTTGTCAGCTGAAGTATCACAGGGAATATGTACTTAAATGATGTCTCTTGCATTAGAGACAAGACTAAATCTGTTAGTTTTTTGTTTTCATGGGGTTTTTTTTAAGCAAAACTATTAATACAGATACAATCTTAGTGTGCCATGCAGCTTCAGCACAGAGATTCGGCACTTGCATATAAACACTGTGTTCCAGCATGCAAACATACACAGAATCAGTATTTTAGAGGATAAACTATATTCTAGTTTGCTATGTGATTAATTTGGAAAACATGAGGGTTTGTTGGTTTTTTTTAAACATTGAATAGTAAGAGAAAACAGATGTTTTTTGACGGAAGCAATCCTGAGTAGCCCGTTTGAGTATGGTTGCATTAGACTAATGAGGTTTTCCTGCATAAAGCAGTTTTGCTTCAGTGGAAATAAGATCAAAAAGCAGGTTATGATCCTGCAGATCTTTTCTCAGTGAAATCAATAGAAAGTCAATTGTCTGCCCAGCTCAGTAATTGTTTATAGGGTGTCAGCTTTTGAGTTCTAGATTTGTTCTCTAATTACCTGTGAAGTTCTTCGTATGCCTATGGAGTTTGATTGATAATCTGCAATGTTAGAAGGTCACTGTGAGACTGATTAAGATACTATCAGACAAGCTGCAGTTGCTGCTATTAGTCATTGGTTTCCAGTAATGCCCACATTGCTGTTGGCACTTGCCAAATTAAAAGACAATTTTATTGTCCCTTGTCCTCACTGAAGGAGAAGCCAGAGATGCACATATTTGTTAATCCCTGTTGAAACAAAGCTTAGGGGTTTTTTTCCTAAACAAATATTGAGATTTACAGCTCATTTATTTTAATTCTATATATTTGGGGGGAAGATTTGCCTGGTCTATAATTTTCGTGGCCAAAGTTGAAATACGCTTTAACAGAAAAAGGCTGAATTTTGCATCTCTTCCAAAGAGATTTTGGTGGTATCTCTTGACTTCATTCATTTGTGCTTCTCTCTTTTTCAATAGATGGCACTTTGCCTAGGCATGTTGCAGAATTAGCTGTCCCAGCCACGTCGTGTTAAGTTTAAAGGGCCTTGGGTCTGACATCATTAACGCTGTCTTCCTCTCCCCTTTATGCCTGCAGCTTCAGGTGTTTTCCTTTGGGTCACTTTGTGTTAAGGTGAAAGGAGGAGGCTTTAGGTACAGCTGCAGTGGTTAACACTGCCGAATTTCAGCAGCAACATATGAACTCTTAGGAGGAGGCTCATGGTGATGGGATAAATCCAGTCCTCATTAATGGGGCACCTGCTGCTCTCTACTTAGCTGGGAGAGCTTCTCCCAGAGCATTGATGTACATGTTCATCGTGTAGCGGTTGAGTGTCTCACCTGCACGTGATGCAATGCTGTGTTAATTTTCTGAGGTCGGCAATTCTTCTGAAGCCTGACAGGTTCTTGTTCAGCTTTTCAATGGAGCCTTTTACTAAAGCTCTGCCAAGTCCATCCAGTGTAATAAGTAAATGACCTTAACAAGATTAAGCTTTTTTGCAAAGGAATACAGTCTGTGTGTCTGTCTTTTTTTTTTTTTTCTTTTCAAATGTTAATCATTTACTAATTCTCTGTGAAAATGCTGCAATTCCATATGGCCTTTCAAGGTGCTACCAGAGTTCCTCTTCAGCTGCCCTGAACAGATGCAGACCAGTTCCCAGGTGCTCCCTGTACCATGGCCCCGCACATCGCCGCGAGCAGTGGTGCCCTGTGCAGTGCCCAGCCTTTGCCTGCACATGTACCTCCCAGATAGGATGTGCTGGAGGGGGCACGCTGCGTGCACCCCAGCTGGGCTGGGCATCCAGCAAACAGCTGTTACATTCCTGTTCTGTTAGCGTAGCACTTCCGAAATAGTTAATTTAACCAAATGATTAAAATGTAAAGAATTTTTAATGTCCAATTTTTAATTCATTAGGGTTTTTTCATCATACACGCATCAGTGTTCTCAAGAAAGCACTTTAACTCTTTAAACAGCTAGGTCTCTTGCATGAATAAATGTGTACGAGTTATTTCCTGAGTAACTTAGGAGATACTAGACCAGTATAAATGCAGACCTGTAGGTATGTGTCTGCTAGGAGTGTAGAGAGGTAAGCTTTTACCTTAGGTGCTGGAAATGGCATACTGGAGGCTCTGGTGGGTGTATAGGCAACCTTGATTCCTGATGTAAGCACCTCATTCCGGCTTTGCCCTGCCTGTTGCATTCACTGTATCCTTCCATTTCTTTCCAAACAGGGGTTTTTTGAAGAAGAGGAAGGCAAAGAATATATCTATAAAGAACCCAAATTAACGGGCTTGTCTGAGATCTCTCAGAGGCTGATGAAACTTTATGCAGACAAGTTTGGAATAGATAACGTGAAGATCATCCAGGATTCCAACAAGGTACAAAACACTTGCGGATCTTGTGCCTGGTTCATCCTTTGAGAGCTGTGTTTTGAATGAATGTGAACTGGGGCGGGGGGGAACTGCTATGACCTAGTTTTAAAACAAAAAAAAAGACCCTCCCCTTACAGCACGGCAGGTGCTGTATGGAAACGACAGTGTTACAGCAGGGCACCGCAGTCGGGGGGAAGAGAGCGTATGCCTGCGGAGAGCATGCAGATGTTCACTGCAGTGCAGAAGCAGGTTGTTTTCTCTCTCATTTAGCTTTCATCCACCTTTGCTATTGGCTATATTCAGAAGTCGAACTGTTCTTGGGGCCCTCCTAGTTAGATATCTTTGTATTAATCTATGGTCTGAATATTACATTTGGAAGTCTCAGTTTTAATCGGTATTTCCATGATAGATAACAACATCAGAAATATAATGGATGCCTTGACAGTTCATCACACTTAACAGAACTTTATTGTTTGTCACCGTTACACAGGTCAACCCCAAAGACCTGGATCCAAAGTATGCCTATATCCAGGTGACATATGTCACACCTTTCTTTGAAGAGAAAGAAGCCGAAGATCGAAAGACCGACTTTGAAATGCATCACAACATCAACCGTTTTGTGTTTGAAACACCTTTCACGCTCTCAGGAAAAAAGCACGGAGGCGTAGAAGAGCAGTGCAAGAGGCGCACAATCCTGACAAGTACGTTTGTTCAGGCTGCTCTCCCCCTCCCATCCCACCTTTGCCAGTTAAGCCCAGCAGTGCATTTCATGTGCCAGGTTTTCTACAGTCAGTGGGCACAGCCTGTTGTGCAGAATCATAAGTAATCTTTTCAGTGCATCCATTGGCAAAGTATGTGCTTTCTTACAATCCTGCTGACTGTCCCGGGGAAAGTTATTTTCATTTGTGGAGTCATCAGCTGTCTTATTTTTCCTTACTATTGACATCTTAACTGTTCTTGCAGTGATGTAATTTGGGAGTGGTTCTGCTGGAGGCAGTGTAGCACTCAGAACCATTGTTTTTTTAATAATAAACAAGTCAAAGAGAAAGCAAAGTAAGGTGCCTATACTGCAAAGAAGAGTAAAACTTAGCAGATATGCATTTTTGTTCAAAGTGGGAGTAAGATACGTTATAGGGCATTTTTTTAAAGTGAGAGGTAATATTTTATTTCATTGGGCACAATCAGTGTTTTAAGACAGCAATGTTGGAAGCACTAGTAGGTATGTCTGCTCTTACTGAGTCATATTAAACAGAAAATGCTTAGTTCCTTATCGTGCTTGAAATCTCTTTTTAAAGAGGCATCCTTTGTGAAACTGCTACTGAAACTTGACCTTTCTGAAATTTGGCTGGGAGTATGACAAACTGTCTGAAATGGAGGCATTGTTCTCATGGGCAGCCGTGAGCAGGGAGGCTGGTGTTCACAGCAAAGGCTCCTGAGCGACAGAAAATCCAGTTCCCCACTGACTTCAGTGCATCTGCTTCCCCCAAAGGGCAAAGTGAAGAAAGATGCTTACAGTACAGGCGTGGTCACCGAAAAGTTTTGTTGTGGCAAGTCAGGAAAGAAGCACTGATGTTTGAGGGCATGGTGTTACATGACACAGCTTTGCTTGTAAGAAGAAGAAAGGAGGAGTAGCTTGTGTGGGGGGTTTTTAAGTGCTTGAGCAGCCGTAGGTGTTTTGAGATCTGTATTGAAGCAGGTAGTTTCACTGACTCGAAAGTGCAGCTGTTATGGTATGTCTGGCAAAAACAGAGAGGGTTGTTCTTCCAGCAGAACGTTTTCTCTAGGTTATTGCATGCTGTTGTCAGCTCCCAGCGCTCTCAGCCTGGCTCCATCTTTGGCATTAGCTGGGAATTTGCTGACCTTCTCTTCTGCCCTGCTTTTCCCTCTGGCACCTGCCTCACCTCAGTGCTTTTCTGTGAAGGAAACACCTTTCTTTTTTTCTTTTTTTTTTTTTTCCCCCGCTTCCATAAAGTCATATATTTTCATTTACTTCCTACATAAAAAGAAGTGCCTTTAGTTTGAGAAGGAAAGCAAGGCATACCGATAAGACTGGAGGAGCAGTGGAAGTTCATTGTGCTTGGGCAGAGGTACTGGGTGGCCGGAACGGTACCTGCTCAGTGTCTCTGCTCCAGAGTCTGCCGCTGGTGTTGCGCAGAGGACAAGCCTGGCTGCGGTCTGTGGATCGCTGTCTCTCTGCCGTGCCGAGCTGTGACTCGTGCTTCCAGCTCTGGAAGTTCCGTGTTCCCTGCTCTCCAAGGAGGCAGCCACCCTGTAAGCTGGAGTGTATTTAGGTCTGAGCTGATGGGCAGCAGATGCTCACCAGAGGAGGGCATACGCAGAGTCTGGGAGGCCTTCCAAAGTGCGTGTAGGGCAATCGGGAAAAGATTGTTAGCATAGATCAGATTTAATGTGCCATAACTGTACCTTTGCCAGACTCCCTGAGATCTGTGAAGAGGCCTCGACTGGAAGGAAGGGGTTTTAATTCCCCTGTCGGCTCCCATAGAAGTATTTAGCGTGAATACTAAAAGTAACTCCTTACTTCTTTAAGGATGATGTATTAATAGCAGTTTATCTGTGGGTGAGCGATACCCAACTCAGCTAAACTAAAGGCTCCTGCCTCTAACTTGAAACATGTTTGATGGTATATTTTGAGCTGTTTGAAGTTCAGTATGGGCTTATTTGGTGCTTTAACTCAGAAGAAGAAATTTGTGGATTCTAAAACGTGAGTGGTGAGAGCTTTTTGCCACGTGGATGTGACAGAGCTCAGTAGCAAACAGTGGTGAATTCAAAAGGAAATACTCTTCCAGCACCAATCAAAATTCAGTTTGGACCTGCTGTGTCACTTTCACTCATTTGGTGATTAAAACTGAATTTGTATAGATTGATAAAGAGATTGACAAAGTCAAAAGTTCATACTTTGACTTAATTGTTTTAGTTTTTTAAATACTCTCTTGTTGGGTGAGTTTCTCTGATACATTCCTTGTTTTCGAGTAGCCAGTCACTTGTTTCCGTATGTGAAGAAGCGTATTCAAGTCATAAGCCAAACCAGCACAGAGCTGAACCCTATTGAAGTAGCGATTGATGAGATGTCCAAAAAAGTCTCAGAGCTCAATCAGCTTTGCACAATGGAAGAAGTGGACATGATCCGACTGCAGCTCAAACTCCAAGGAAGCGTCAGTGTCAAGGTAATGACAATTTCCCTTTTTTTCCTCTTTCTTTATTTTGCAATGCATCTACCTAATTTTTTGTTCTGATTTTCATCATTCCAGACATGTTTTGTCTATTTTATATTTCTGGTCATATCTTGTGTTCCAGTGCTGTTGGAGCCTGCTTTAAAAATGTAAGGGAATGGAAAGTTTTCCACTGATGTTGATGACTGCTGGATTTATGTGCAAATATAACTATTTCAGTCAAATCTTCTCTAAGTAAATGTTAAGACCTTTCTAACAAGACCATCACGTGTCACTCGAGAATAAAGCCCATCACACAGCTGAACACGCAAATACTTTAACGGGAGTTTTGTTAGGGTTAGTTTTGTCATTTCCTATTTAGAAAAGTTGGCATTGGTGAGAGGTGCATGTATTTCTGGTGCCCTCATTAAAATGTCTTCAAACGTACAGCTTTCTAGATGGTTAACTAGCCAAAGACTTTCAAAGGCCAGGAGAGATGTGCAGGTTGTGTGAGGCTGACCAGCTCCCTTTTCCTCAGTAAAACTCTTCAGGTTGCATTCAGGTGACACGAGGAGTGATGCTCTTCACACAGGCTTGGTTGCCTGAGGCAGTCCCCAAGCCTCGGAACACAAGAGAAAATGACAATAAACTGCTTGTTCTCTGCACCTCAGCTGTATGTTTTTCCCCCAGGTAAATGCTGGACCGATGGCCTATGCTCGAGCTTTTCTTGAAGAGACAAACGCTAAGAGATATCCTGATAATCAAGTTAAGCTTCTGAAGGAAATCTTCAGGTAAATATCTAAACAAGTTTAAATTTTCCACCCTCCACATAGTCGGAGTAGCATGAGTAGGTGTGACATGAAATCAGGCTGAATTGAAGCAGGCTCATTTACATCTGCGCGTACCCTGTCTTACAAGCCATTCCCAAGAAGATGTTTACTGAAGTTTTGGGCTTTCCTAGTAGCCTACATGCCTCTTGATCTGAGGAGGAGTTCTGAAATTCACTTCTAGCAAGGTGTAATTTGCAAGGGAGAGAAGAGGTACAGTAGTGTGTATGCGTATGTATAGCAGTAGTGTGTGTGTATGTATAGATAGATATTTTTCATTACTACAAAATTAATATGGTTGTTCTTTGTGGTTTTGCGCTTGTAGGCAATTTGCAGAAGCATGTGGACATGCTCTTGATGTCAACGAACGCCTTATTAAGGAGGACCAATTTGAATATCAGGGGGAGATGAAGTCTCATTATAAGGATATGCTCAGTGAGCTGTCTGCAGTTATGAACGAACAGGTTAGATCATCTATTTTGGTGCTGGTTGGGCTGAATGAGGGTGGTTAATTGTGTCTTCTAGTGACAAAGGAAGCTGTAAAGCAGAATACTAGAAGTAAAACCTTGCAGTGCAACAGGCACTGAGAAAACATAGCTTACTCTTTTTGAGGGTTTTTTCCTCTCTCTTTTTCTAAGTGCAGCTGTATTATATATAATGAATCTAACCGATCAACAGAAGTTTATCTTCTTACCTGTCTTGCTAGATACTGCAAAGTTGCATGTTCATGAGGCTAAACGCAGACTGATGTCTAGAGGCACAGAAAGATAATTAGTTAAACTAGTGGTTTATGCTTTGCTTGCTTTATCCTACAGCTGTGATGTATTTAATTAAAACAGTAAATTGCTTTTAAGACCTAGCTTATAACTGGAGGAGATGTCTTTATAGTTTCCATTTGTATTCAGCTTTCAGAGCAAGTTATTTGTTTTTTATTTTGTTGTATTTAAGTACACTGTCAAAATACATGCCATGTTAAATGCATTATATGAAATACATCCCAAAATACCAAACTGGACTTCAGAGCACACTTGCAGCTGTTCTATTGCTATGTCCATGCAGATATTTTTTTATTATGTTTTCTGTTTTAATTTAAATACCAAGTGATTCTGCATACTAAAGTGCAAATGAGATCATGCTTAATTATTTCTCTGCGTGCTCATGTGTAGGCCACCTTAGCTTGCACCTGAGCAATACGTATTCTCTAGCAGTTACACTGCATTTCCAGGTGCCTATAGCACACATAAGCACTGTTTGTGTACAGAGTTACTTTGTTTAACCATTGGTATCAGTGATGGCATCTCACAGAAGTGTCTAATTGGCACCCCATTAGACAATACTCTGTTGTTCATGTTCACACGTGAAGAGAATAAGGGTTTACCGAAATGTTTGGCCCATTGTTATTCTTGCTGTGGAATCGAGCTAGTTTTTCACAGGGTGTAAAGCTGTGCAAGTGCTTTGAAGGCTGGTGTGTGCCAGGTGGGGGACGAGCTCAGTGGTGGTTGCTGTTCTGTTCTCCCTGTTTAGGCATATAAAGATTTGTGAACCTCAAGCATTCCAGTAATTTTATCATAACTAATATTTATCCCTGTTTGTTACATTAAGTATGTAATTATTCAGGGTATTGTTTGTTATTCAATGTTCATGCCTCTCCTGTGGAAGTTATTTTGCCCACCCAGTCAACATGCATAGGCAGTACCATATGTCTCGTGCGAACTACTGTTCCCCCCAAGAATGGAAAATGTATGGCCAACTTAAATGAGGCATAAGCAGCCCACGAATTTCAGCATTCGTAAAATATTTGGTGAGTTCTATTAAATACTCACACGTGTATTTATATCAGTGAGCTCTGAGTTTTCTTCGTGTAAATGAAAAGACTAAATAATACAAACTTACTTGTACAGAGCAATGTTAATATGTAAAGTTAAGAGTTCATCCAGCAAAAGTCATAATCGTCATCTGTTTAACCAGAATTTGAAAGTCTGCACTGAAAACTAGTCTCCCACTTGCCGCCCTGTGGGGCAGCCGTATAAGTGACAGCACAGTTTTCCAGGCAGCATGATTTTTGGGGAAAACTCTACTCCTCTTGCAACAAATGCATGAACTCCCTACTTCTGAGCAGAGCGTTGCCTCAGAGAAACCACACGCTGTAAATTGCGGCTGAAATATCTATCTCACCGTTGGAAGGCTTGAGGCTCTGTTGTAACTCTGCTGTGTGCTTTTACACCAGTAAGATTTGCCATCTTTCCCATTGTCGTATTCAAGATGGGGTTTTTTGCTCACCCACTGACAGTGACTCTTTCATCACCATATGTTTTTTCTCTTTTTTTGTTTTGTTTTCTTTTTCTTTTCTGACAGCTCTGTCATGGTCCTTGCTTATACAGCTTCTCTTCTTCCCTGTCTAACATTTCCCTCAATACTATAGCCAAAAGTGGTATGTTCGTTTTTCTTACATCTACTTTTTCTTTTAATGTCATGTACTTTCCTCACTTGCTGTTTTTTCTACTTGGTATGTTTGTTTAGTTTCGTGTCTGATGACTCCCTCACTCGGGGAGCTAAAAAGATAAAAAGAAGACAAGGTCTACGTGTGACGTATTGTCCATGAGCAGTGTTGAGACCTTTAGGATCCTAATCGTGAACTTGGGGAGGTCAGCGGGGCAAGCCGACAAGAGCCTAATGCAAAAGCATGTGCCAGTAGTAGCAGAAGTGGTGGATGGAAGGGGTAGGGACAAATGGCCTGGAAAGGTACCGATTAAGCCAAACCCCCGTCTTGTGAGTGTGGTCCCCTTCGTGCAGCCCTGCCCACCGTGCTGCTCGTGGCTGTACGCTGGGACGCCGGCTGGGCCCACGATGGGGTGCAAGCCTGGCTGCACACGGGCTTCAGAAGGACTGGTACAGCCCAGCGCAACAGCAGCCGCCCCGAGCTCGCTTCCTCTGACAGCCCTGGGTGGGGAGACCCTTAGGTTTGAGTCATGGCTGGGTGAAGTCAGCAGTCTGGGCAGTGTGTGTCCCACAGCCTGCCTGTGCTCCGCCGTGCTGCCCTGCTCTCCTTCCAGTTTCCTGGGCTTTGCTGGGAGCTGCCAGGGTACCCGAGTCCCGGGGCTCTTTCTCCAGCCACGGTGTGAGAGCAGCTCCTTCCCAGAGCTGCACGCGTCGCTGGCTCGGGCAGTAACGCTGTGCGCGGATGCAGCATCGTCATGTTTGCCTGAGTAATAAACGGTGTGTCTGAGCTGCAACCCCGACCAGCGGTAACTGGGGGTTGACGGTGTAAGATTACACCTGGAGTTTTGTGAAGGGGAGAGGCTTCCCTTCCACCGCTGGCGGCTGTGTGGTCAGTGGGAATGGCCCGTGTCTCTGCTGTGGATGCTTCAGCATAGTGCCCCATGGAAGAAAGCAGGTTTTCAGTCTGTATTTATAGAAGTAACTAGGAAAAATAGCAATTACCAAAGCTAAAAAGAACTTCTAGAAAAAAAAAAATGTTCCTTCTTGCTAAAGCCTGTATGTAGGACAGGACAGGGCAGAGCAAGCTTTTGCCGCTGCTTCTCCCCGAGAGCGCAGCTCTGCCCACAGCCTCAGCCTGGCAATTGGTCCAAACCCTGCTAATGGGTGTATTTTTTCAGCTGGTGTGAGAGTGAAGCTCGGTGGGGACACTGCACGCCCCGAATAACTGCATGGGCAGAGCTGGGGCCAGTCTGTACCATGACCAGTAGGTGCAGGTGTCTGCTGAGTTTATAAAATGTAGGTGGATTCTCAATGTTTGTATGAAAGTTGTTAGAGAAACACTGCTCAGGGAACCCCATGAAGCACTGGATGGCAGAAGCTGGTGACACCATTCCAGCCCCATTTATCACCCCAGCTCCAAGGATGTCCTCCCTCTCGCTGCAGCCTCCGGTCACTTCTGGGTCCCCGGGCAAAGGCCTTTTCCCTCTGCCAGATCCTTAGCATCATTGTGTAATAGACAGAAAAATGGGGAACCCTTGGCTAGACAACAGACACTTCAGACTCCAAACTATTCAGATCTCTCTCACTGTTGCATGTTTTTTTGCTTTTCTTCTTTATGAAAAGATTGCATACAAGGAGGACTCGGCAAAACAGCAAGGAATGGAGCGCACCTATTCACGAGTCATCAATAGAGCCAGCTCCTCTGCGCCAGCAGCACCCGCCCCGGCAAATCCTGACGCGTGACTGCGGCGTGGGCAACACGTGGCCTTGGGAAGACTTGGGGTGGCTGGAGAGGTTTTTTTTGTTGTTTGTTTGGGGTTTTTTTCCTTTTAGATTAATAGTACTGAAAATTAATTTGATCAAGGACAATGCCAGGAAAAGGATTTGTGGGTTATAATTTTAATTTATTGGAAGTCTTCACAGTGTTATTTTTTAAAACTGCAAGCTTGATTTTTTTTTTTTTTTATCATTTTTTGCTTGCCCCAATATTTGCACATTCCCTATCTTCTTGTTGTTGTTGTCAATTTTTGGTTTTGAGCAGCCTTTATTAAGCCAGGCTGGTTATGAAGTTCCCGTTGAACAGATAGGTACGCAGCAAACCCTAAGTTTGCTATAAATTATAATATATCTAATACTAAGTCCTAGTATACATATATTTTAAAGGTCAGAGTGGATGTTTTATAACATTTAAGTATATTGCAATTGTAAATAGAAGATGTGTAAAATATGTCATTTTTACAAAATTTAAAAAAATATCTTTTTAGTTAATTATGACAGTACTAAGAGTATGGATAACATTTCAGTTACCATTATATTAAAATATTTGTGTATGTGTATAAAAAGCGTCCATAAAATTTTTCTCTTTGAAGGTCTGTGCATTGGTTCATTCCCGTGTCAGCACTTTCCAGAGCGGTGGCAATCGGGATGTCCCCTGCATCCTGCCTGTCTGTTGTGCTGCGGTTGCTAATGGGGGCGTTTATGAGCATCTGCAGAACGTGGCTTCAGATTGTCTCCGTGGCCCCAGACTGAGGCCACCCTGGGAAGCAGGGGCTCGGTGTAGCCCTCCTGCTTGAGGCCAAGGAACCTCTGCTCTTCCTTTGAAGTTCATAGTCCCAAATTTTGCCCAGGGCCTGTTGGGAAACTGTGTGCCTCTAGTGAGATGGTTGCTGCATCGTCTTGGGATGAGGTGGAGCGGTTCTGCCAGCTCTTACGAGTTGCCTTTAACCTCAGCACTCCCCCTCCACAGTCCTTTGTGTTCGTTCCTTTGCCCATAGAAAATCCCTGCTTTCAGGGGACCCCGCTCCTTGTATGCGTATGTTGGGATCCCTCTCTTCTATGCATACAGTCCCCACAATTCCATTAAGCTGTGGCTCATTTTGCCTGGAGAAACCCTGGTGATTGCCCTGAGGCCTCCACAGGTTCACGAGCGTTTGTTCAGGTCAGAAGCCAGGGCTGTGTCTTGCTTCGTGGGGGTGCCAGGAGGGTTTTTCCAGTATGTTGCCGTGTTCTGCCCTACTGTCTCCTTTCCCTGTATCTCCTCCTGTGATGCCCCCAGGTGAATCTCAGCCCAAGCTGTAGCCTGGCCCTGCAGGCAAGAGCCAAAGGTGGCTTCTAAATTCACCTCATCTTATATGCACAAGGTAAAAATGCCATTACCCAGTCTCTGCAAGCTTCCCGGTGCTGCCAGGGCTTGCTGCTGTGTCTCACTATCAGCAGAGCTGGGATTTTTCAGATAAAATCTTTGCTGAGGGTTGAAACCCCCACGGTGCTCTTTCCTGGTGGGGGAAGGAGGGGAGCGGTTGGGATGGGCGCCCGGTGGGTTGGGGTGGGCCCCGCTCCAGCGTTAGTGCAGCAGCAGTGTAAGCCCGTGCCGGTGATGTGATGACAGCCCACGCTCTCGCCTGCGTGCTGCACGCCAGCATCGCCCGCACGGCTGGACGGGGAGCCGGGCGCCTTCCTCATCCTCGCCTTGAAAAGCCCACCTCTGCTCTTCGGATACTGCGCTGTTCGAAACCAACAGTCTGCTGAAAGGAATGATTTCTGGCCCAAATTTTAGCCTGCTTTATACCATATATGTAGCGGTAGATGAAGTTCCCTGCTCGTTTGTATACGTGGAGGAACCAGTCATCGGTGGCGACAGCAGGAACCTGCCGCAGAGAGGAGGTAAGTCTGAGCGTTGAGCCCTCTTGTCCCTTGGTTTGTTGGTCTCACTGCACTCATTTTGCGTTTGCGATGATTTGTATTTATGGAGGAGTACTTCAGAAGCCATCAAGGTGATTTGGAGACAGCCCGTTTCTAATTACTGTTCACAAGAATCGAGTAACTAAATCTGTTGGTCATCTTTGGGAATAACTAGATTGCAAAAGTGTGGTTTGCACCAAGGGGATGTTGCAAGCTGACACCAGGCTGGTCTGAAGCCAAGCTGTGGTCTGTAAAGCAGAGGTAAGGAGATCCCTGGATTGTTTTCTCAATAGCTTGCACACAAAATGAGTTTCATGTGTAAGTCTAATGGTTGTGGGGTTTGGTTCATTTTAAGCCACCAGCTCTGCAGCCTCCTCTGGGGGGTTTGAAAATCCAGCCATTATTCTGGCTGTTACCTTATTGCTGGAGAAGGTCAGACTTGAGCGTAGCTGGGTCCATACTCCAGATGGCTCTTCCTCTCCTGCTGTGTTCAAGCACTTTCAACACAGTGGCATGAAAGCAATTAGCAAATATTAGCTTTGAACCAGGGCCGCAACAGCGAGAGAAAACAAAGCATTAAACCCAGCGTTTGAGGGGAGAGAACGAGAGAAATGCAGAAGGCATGCGAGGCTGTAGGATTGTGACAAAGATGCGGTTTGGCCTTTCGGTGCGATAACATTCGGTGACCAAAACTGCCGAAGTTAGATGTGTGGGTGCTGAATGCCGTACCCACCCCTGTCCGTGGGCTGTGAAACCCTCACAGAGCCCAAGGGTGTTACAAAGGCTGGTGCCTGACGGGCAGTGCGTGCCACAGAGCGGGCGCTGTAAGAAAGGGCTCTTTTCATGCAATCGCTGCTTTTCAAACTCTTAGGATTACATGAGATCTACACCAATTCTTTTCTGCCAAAAGCTCCTCTCTGAGACTCCTTTTGTCTGAGGCGACCACAAGAACATGGTCTGCTGCTCCTGGAGCTGACGTTTTCTCCAGTATTTATCCATTATTTCACGGTGTATTCTTACAGCTGGGTTTATTTTTCAATCACTTTTGAAAGCAATTCTCTGGATTTGCTTTATTTCAAATATTAGGACAATTTTAAAATAACCACACAACAACACTTCCATCACTTTTTTTTCTTTTCTGCACAAATATTCAGCTCAAGGCAGGTAAAACAGAGAAGAGCAGTTCAGGGAGGGGGTCAAGTACAAGGGCAGATGCACTTGCCCGCTGCTGACATGCGTAGGTTTTATTTTCCCTGCAGGATGGGCAGGGCCTCGGTGGCCTGAGCACAGATGTCCCAGGGGACTGAGCAACAGGGGCAGTGAGAAGTGCTGCAGTCAAAATTTCATTAATTGTGCTGCTTGAGGAAAAGAAGTAAAGATGGACAGGAGAAACAGCTGCCGGGACTTTGTCCAGTCTTTGTCTGAGTTCTTGATAATATGTGGAATTATGTAGGTGTTTACAGATGACACTTTGGCAAAGGCTGATTTTCAGGCTATGAGCAAGATTATTAATAACAGGCAAAAAAAAAAAGTAATGCATATGTGCAAGTGTTTGCTTTGGGACTATTGTTGGCATCCTCGCTGATGCTCGGCACGTTCAACTGCCTTACATTCAGATTACTTGTGTAAGAGGAAAATCTACCTTTTCCACCATTATACCTTCATGGCAAACAGTTCTGCAGAGGAAGACTTTTAAGCGCAGGCTGAGAAGCTACGACGCAGAAGAGGAGTGTTGCAAAGCGGCTGGAGCTGGAGGAGAGGCAGGTGGCAGAGGGGGCTTTGGGGCAGCGCGAAGCCCTGCGAGGGAGCGGGATCCAAGGGGCAGCGAGGCGGAGGGCGAAGCTGAGCTCTCGAGGACACTTTCATCCCCCCACTGCCGCGGGCGAAGCTGGTGAAAGAGTCCCTTTCATCTGAGAAAGGAGATCTTCCTGCGCCAGCCTCAAATCGAGCTGCTTTAAAAATTTTTAGAGTGCAAAAGAAATGATTTATGTTTGTTACTCAGTGGAAGCTATCCCAACACCCCAAAAGGAGTTAAGCGCTATACATATTTTATGTTTAATCACATCTTTAGTGACACCCAACCACAACCAAAGGCTTAAATTTCAATTAGAGGGAGGTGTATTAAATGTTTAATAGCAATCATTCCTTACAGGGTAATTATATCTTAACATTCACTGGAGAGATGTTACGTTGGCAACGTAATGTTGTTCTGAACAGGGATGATTTTTTATTTTATTTATTTTTTTTGCTAATAGCCAAATGAGAAACAGGAGGGTGATCTGTACCACTCATGCTCCAGACATGCTGCCCAGCCATGGGCCTGAATCTGGGAAAAAGTGAAATTACATTAATGCGTAGCTTTGAACGTCGATTTTTGGATCTCTCTGTGAAAAATGTCCCACATGTGCTGAGAAGCATCAGGCTGCATGTACCTTTTACTTCAGTTTGGAACCTTTTTAAAACTGGGAACTGACTACTCAGTATTTCAGTTGTAATTCATATGAGAGGATCAATCTTCAAGACAGATCTGTCAAGGATATCTGAAAAGCATCTGCTGTGGATTTGAATGCATTTACCAATTTTTAACAAGTTTGGTATGCATACGAAAGACTTTTCTCGTAATGTTTATATTAGCGCAAAAATAATCATCAGCGTTATGCATTCACAGCAAGCATATTAGAGCCATGAAGGGAATTTTGTACCTAGGTGGTTAAGAGCAAAGGATGTTAAAATCAAATATTGAATGAGAACAGAGACATGGGATTTCTGAGAAAAGCATCCAGAGCTGTAGAAAAAGAAAAAAAAAGAAAAAAAAAGAAAAAAAAAAAGACTAGAATGCATTTCTCTTTTAGGAGAATTGCATTGAGATAAACAAAATTAATCAAAAAGGCAAATAGCCAAGCCCAGATAGAACTGTGCTCATGACAAGGGAGGACCTTCAGCTTCACCATGGCCGTATCCCCCCTGCTTTCGCAGGAGCTGCTGAAGCGGGAACCACCCGGCACAGCCCCGCTGGCCCCACACGGGTCTCCCGCTCTGACCCTCCTCTCCTCCCTCCTGCTCTCTGGAGGCCGTGCTGTGGAGCAGAGTGTCTCCTCCATGTCTCCTTCAGCTCCCCTCCTTGCAGCGCGGCGCTGCCCAAGGACCTGAGGCGGCCGCAGCAGAAGGCAGATGAGCTGCTGGCGCCTCTCCTGGGGCGGCCGCTGCCCAGGCGGGGTGTGCAGGGTGCAGTTAACTGGGGGGGCCGTGGTTACGGGACGTCAGCCGCGCTCAGGGCACCGCTGTGGGCGCACAAGGGGCTGCATGGCCACGTAGCCCTGCCTGCACTTGTAGGGGTTAGTGGTCTGCTTGTGGTATCCGTTTCCACGCGTTATTTCCTCAAATCTGCTTTGACGCAGGAGCTGGAAACATTGCCGACAGTAGCAATTAAAGCCCTTGTCATTGCAGCAGAAACTAATGAGCAAACAGAAGGCCTGAGAGCACCAGGAGCTGTTGAAGGTCGGGGCTCTCGGGACTGCCCGCAGAGCTGCGCGGGCAGGGGATGGACCCGGGATCTCCCCACTGACCCTGCAATAAAATCCTGGAGCCTTGCTGGTGAAATGTCGCTGCCGTGAGACAGAAAGGGACAGCAAGAGCCAGCAAGCTGAGAGCCAAC